GTTTCCCTCGCAAAGCGCAGGTGATGCGTGGGCTAGCACGGTGCCCTGCTGTATGACAGACGCAACCAACCCTGCATTGAGGACCTGAATGAACGGTTCCTGGTCATTGGACACCAGAGTCTTGGCCCCCACTAACGTTAACCCACGAATAGCTTTGTTTGAGGGTCCTAGAAGGATTCCGCCCGCAGTCGCCTCCTGGTCAAGCGGCTTCTGCAACATTTGCACGTCGGGAGTAATCTCTACGGTCTTACTCGCAAGCGCTTGTACAGTAGCGTTGGCCATGTGCAATTGAGTGGGAGGAGGCAAAAAGGCCATGCGTCGGCCCAATGGCGACTCGAGACAACCTTGGTCTACTCAATTTTCAATGGCATCTTCCCCAGGAAGTCAGTCCTGAGCAAGCAAGGAACAGCAAGGGACGTTGACACAAGAATTGGTCCCGTCAATTTGATATCTCCAATACACACCTCTGCCGTTATCTGTCCAATTATGCCCAATGAGCTGCCATTTGCGGCAAAGCACGGAACCCTGACAGGACATAGGGAACGACACTTATAGGGTTAGAATTAAAAAAATCTACTCAGAAATGATAGTCACTGATGCACCAGTTCGACGAGCATTCTAATTTCAACCCCCTCTATCATTCCGATAACAGCGGATGAACCCACGGCCACGACAACCACTCTATGGGCAACTCTGACCACTGACCCGGTCGGAGTGGCCAGCCAGCCCGAGCAAAATCTGAACCCTCATGCCCCCGACACACGACGGAAATGAAAACCATCTGAACGTGGTGAGTGAGGTGGATTCAAGGGCCGAGTGTGTGGTATGTCGCGACTTGCCTTGGGGTATAGTGGAGTTGAGGACGGTCGGGCGGATGACAGCGGTGGTCCGGGGAGGCGTTGTCATGGCACTTGTAGCACACGATGGGCCCACTCCCAGGACAAGGAAAGGTCTTCCGCCGTTGATGTTGTTCATCCCATCGCACCATGCCATCCCCCCACCAGCCTCCGCCTTGGGCCGAAGTGCAGGCTTGGACGAGCTCCACGTCTTCGGGTGTATCACACGTCTCAAGATGCGCAGTACACGCCGCCAAACCCTTATGTCGTTTCAAAATCAGGTGCGCCTGTATGCACCTTGTGACTTTGAGAGAAGATAACTCATCTTCCTCCATGGCTGGCAGGATGATGTTGAGGTCCTTCACCAGCATCAGCAATCTTTCGAGGACCAGCGAGTCGACTCCATCGTGGTCCATCTTCAGGAAGGCAGCCTTTGCTAGCGCCAATAGTGCACTGCAGAAGGCAAGGGGCATCTTGGCCTAACCCCTCCGCGCACCGAACTTATGGCAAACATTCGATGGCGGGTCGTAAATTGCCGCCATTTGGGCAAAGGCTTGATGAAGCGTGGCCCTCTGTGATGGTGGGATGCTGCAAAACGCCTCCGTCCATTATGCAAAGTCGCAGTTTGTCTGGAAACGGCACCTGAAGGCCACCCAGTCGCCTCCCGCGGCTGAAAATTATTTAACAAATGGTAGACGTCGCCTGAGGGATGGAATCTCGACAGGCGAACTCGGCGAACGTTCAGACTGGTGGGGTCTCCATCCTGCTCCGTGAACAAAATGGTGGCCGCGTGCGCGGGCTGGGCCACGGAGCGTTCCCGCTGGTATGTAGTCTACCTCGCGTAAGCATAACCTAACTTCGCCTATCTTCCTGAAAAAATAACGTTTGGCCACTCCTGATGCCAGTTGTAGTGGGTTCAACTGAGTCGCAGATGTAGACTTTGGAGGCAACGCATGTTATTTAGTTCTAACACACGGGGTAACTTCCCTTTAACAGAATAACAACCTGAGGTGGTGACCACCCGGCTAACTCCACTAGTTACTACGTAACTGTTACTATGAACCCGGGACCAACAACATCTGGCCGGGTCAACATGCTGGAAGACTTGTTGAACCGAGATCGTAGACGAAGGGTTTCTTTCCCGGGATGAACAACCCTGGTCCCTCTTGGGACCTGGCTTATATTCTCTGTGGCATGGCAGGCTCCGCCCTTGGCCACGTCCACCTTCCAGAATCCTTGGGAAGGTTCTGGGTCCCAATCACGTGACCCCTCCTCGCCCCCTCTTGGGGCTCCGCTGTCAACTTAACCGGTCTCGTGTCCTCCCGGGTCAACCAGAGTACCTTGGCTTTACACAACCTTACCCTTCGGTCGGCATCCACACACCCTGTCCTGTAGGGCCGGCACTGCACTTACAGCATGGTGCCATCCAGCGCTATTATCCAGCGCACACCGTGTCCCTCTAGGGCCGGTACTGCACCCAGAGCATGGTGACATCACTACATATGTATCTTGAACTTATTTTCGCACCATACGAAGCCAACCGTGCTGATCGGAAGTGCGGGAGGGGGGAAGGACGAGAACCATTTCATACTTGCCTGAGAGTCACCTCTGGAAGATCATATGCCTTACTTTATTGGCGCGTTTATAATCCGGGCCAGACGGCTCGAGTAGAAGAGCCATCGGCAACGCAATACGCAGAGGAAGGTTGGGTGTTCAAATCCCCTGGCTGAGGGATCATGGGTTGACGATTCAGGCCCATCATCCTTTCCAGTGGTAATACAACATAATAAGTATAGTCTCATGATCGCCAAGGAACCGCAGACCTAGCTGAAAGTCAGCAGCCAGGTGGTGAACCGGTGCTCCCAACAATTCTCCAAGCTCTGCGGTCCTCTATATATTAAGATGCCTTCAGTCAACCAATGAAGCATTTATACACGTTGGAGGAAACCGGGGCACTTGGAGAAAACTCCACGCGCGCAAGGGGGGGGGGGGGGTGGGGGGACGACGAAAACACTCTTATCCCATACAGAAGGGACAGGATACAGGGTGCTTCAAAAAATGTTAACCTTTCTGAGAATTTGCAACAATACCACATGAAATGTGCATCTGGGCTCTGGAGACCACCTGGAGTAGATTCCAGGCGTGTGTTGAAAATGATGGCGAACAAATGGAAACTCTTTGACTTTTAGAAGCTATTAACATTTTTTTGTTATAATCTAACAGTGTATTATCCGTTATTTTTCCATTCAATTTCGATAGTCCCATATAAGTGTTAACATTTTTTAAGCACCCTGCATATGTATTAGTCTGCACTTCGCTTTTTCCTGGTGGGCCAGGGGGGCACGGCACCTCCTCGACGCCCACGGGGAAGTTGAGTTTCATAATAACGTCTGTGTATGGTGATCCACCAACCCCTCTCTGCTGGTGCTGCTACTGCTGCCTCCATGGTGCCAGGCCGCCACCTGGCAATGTTTCTTTCACTATGGTTATTGTTATCCTTTTAGCTTGTTTGCTATGTCCCCACTTGTTATGTCAAATGAACCGCTGCCTTGTGACAATGCATTCTCTTGTCATAAGATATACTGTGCATAGTGTTTCGAGGAGAAATTCACACAGCTAAGGCCCATTCATTGTTGTGAAATGTCAATTGTCCAGACAGATGTAAGGTGAGGATTCAGCATTGTCATCATCAGCAGCATCAGCAGCAGCCATTCTCTATCCACTGCTGTATCCATGACTCCCCGTGCCATAGCCAACTCCGATTAGCATGGTTGGCTACGTATGGTGCAAAAGAAGTTCCACATACATACTGTCCCATAGACTAACACTACCCATGGACTCAACACTGCCATATACTCAACACTGCACCTCCGATTAGCGTGATTGGCTGCGTATGGTGCGAAATAAGTTCTAAACACATACCGGCAAATCTCATGGTCCATTTCTGGTGCCATCCATCCTAGCGACGAGGCCTAACAAATTATAACATAACAATCAACCGGCTCTTCGCCAATCCACTGCCGGATGAAGGCCTCCCCATGCATGCTACATCAGACATGGGGGTTGTTTAACCATACTTCACTGTGCTTTTCACTGCAGGTTTTGTGAGCCCACGGCCGTTATTTGTACTCGGGCCGTTGGGTTCAGTGGTGTGCGCGAAACCGCCGCTGCTCCCGCCACTCCACCCAAGCAAATAATAATTTAGCACAACGCTGAATAATTTAGAGCCCTTTTGTATCCATTAGAGGATGAAACAACACAGGGATACTTTATAACATTGCATTGGCACTGTATTAGAATATCTGTTGATTTACATAGGACAGGGGTCGGCAAACCTGCGGCTCCAGAGCCGCGTGTGGTCCTTTAAGGACGGCAGTGCGGATCTTGAAATTCGAAAAAATAGCTATTCTTGTTATTTTGGTTGCCGGCCCAGTTCACCGTGGAAGTCCAGTTTACCATGGAAATCCAGTTCACCATGGAAATCCAGTTCACCATGGAAATCCAGTTTACTGTGGGAATCCAGTTCACCATGGAAATCCAGTTCACCGTAGAAATCCAGTTCACCGTGGAAGTCCAGTTCACCATGGAAATCCAGTTCACCATGGAAATCCAGTTCACCATGGAAATCCAGTTCACCGTAGAAATCCAGTTCACCATGGAAGTCAGGTTCACCATGGAAATCCAGTTCACCATGGAAATCCAGTTCACCATGGAAGTCAAGTTCACCATGGAAATCCAGTTCACCATGGAAATCCAGTTCACCGTGGAAGTCCAGTTCACCATGGAAATCCAGTTCACCGTGGAAGTCCAGTTCACCATGGAAATCCAGTTCACCATGGAAATCCAGTTCACCATGGAAATCCAGTTCACCATGGGAATCCAGTTCACCATGGAAATCCAGTTCACCATGGGAATCCAGTTCACCATGGGAGCAGGGCTCGGCAACCCGCAGCTCCGGAGCCGCGTGTGGCTCATTGAGGACAGCTGCTTCGTGACGTCATGTGTTAAGGACCCACCGTCTCGTATTCACCACCACAGTGCATTGCGGCTCTTGAAATAGCGTGCTATTTAATTATTTATTTACCGAATAATTAAAAAAGGCTTAGAAGGAGATTACAAAAGAAATTGTCGTAAAAAAACAAATTGCATTAAAATTTTACTGACCAGGAGAAATCTTCAACAGGTCTTCTCTTGAAGTGCTGGAACTATTTTTCAGATTATTCATGACCCCTTCAACGATTTTCGCTGCCACAACCTATAAGGCAAAACGTCAGCTCGCATGAACGATACTAAAACAGCGCAACGCCATCAATATTACAGGGCGGTCCGTTTATAGATACCCCGCTGGTTCCTCTTGGTCCTACCCTTACTCTGTTCCCAACGGCTGATTGGATATTGCGAAAGCGACGGTTCACGTGTCTTACCGAGGAGGAGTGTTCAAAATATTCAACAAAACGAATTGAGAATCCGTGGGAGGCGCGTGCGGTCAATTCGATTTCAAATATCGTTCTCTCGATAACACTGCCGTTGTTTCAGTGGGGCATCTGTAAATGGGTCACCCTCGGACAATAACGAGACAACATTCTGCACTGCGTTACAATTCAAGCGATGGCGTTGTAGTTCATCATCTGTTGCTGCCAGGGCCGTCTCTGCAGTGACAATAATCGAAGGGACAGAGCTCGCACACTGCAACATAAATTGTAATTGAGGTCGGTCTCTCCGCCTCGATCATTCAACAGCTGATGCCTCCACCACCAAGTGTGTACCAATCAGGGCTGGACTTGGGAATAAATTACTGGTGGAACTCGTAAATGATTCCCCCCACCCCCCACTAGGTCTGAGGAGGACAGGGAGGAGCTTTGCTCCGTGTGTGGGTCTCTGTGCGTGTCTGTGGGTCTCTGAGCGTGCCTGTGGGTCTCTGAGCGTGTCTGTGGGTCTCTGTGCGTGTCTGTGGGTCTCTGTGCGTGTCTGTGGGTCTCTGAGCGTGCCTGTGGGTCTCTGAGCGTGCCTGTGGGTCTCTGAGCGTGTCTGTGGGTCTCTGTGCGTGTCTGTGGGTCTCTGTGCGTGTCTGTGGGTCTCTGAGCGTGCCTGTGGGTCTCTGAGCGTGTCTGTGGGTCTCTGTGCGTGTCTGTGGGTCTCTGTGCGTGTCTGTGGGTCTCTGAGCGTGTCTGTCGGTCTCTGAGCGTGTCTGTGGGTCTCTGTGCGTGTCTGTGGGTCTCTGAGCGTGCCTGTGGGTCTCTGAGCGTGTCTGTGGGTCTCTGAGCGTGTCTGTGGGTCTCTGGGCGTGTCTGTGGGTCTCTGAGTGTGTCTGTGGGTCTCTGGGCGTGTCTGTGGGTCTCTGAGCGTGTCTGTGGGTCTCTGAGCGTGTGTGTGGGTCTCTGGGCGTGTCTGTGGGCCTCTGAGCGTGCCTGTGGGTCTCTGGGCGTGTCTGTGGGTCTCTGTGCGTGTCTGTGGGTCTCTGAGCGTGTCTGTGGGTCTCTGAGCGTGTGGGTCTCTGGGCGTGTCTGTGGGCCTCTGAGCGTGCCTGTGGGTCTCTGGGCGTGTCTGTGGGTCTCTGTGCGTGTCTGTGGGTCTCTGAGCGTGTCTGTCGGTCTCTGGGCGTGTCTGTCGGTCTCTGGGCGTGTCTGTCGGTCTCTGGGCGTGTCTGTGGGTCTCCGAGCGTGTCTGTGGGTCTCTGTGCGTGTCTGTGGGTCTCTGTGCGTGTCTGTGGGTCTCTGTGCGTGTCTGTGGGTCTCTGAGCGTGTCTGTGGGTCTCTGAGCGTGTCTGTGGGTCTCTGTGCGTGTCTGTGGGTCTCTGTGCGTGTCTGTGGGTCTCTGAGCGTGTCTGTGGGCCTCTGAGCGTGTCTGTGGGTCTCTGAGCGTGTCTGTGGGCCTCTGAGCGTGTCTGTGGGTCTCTGTGCGTGTCTGTGGGTCTCTGAGCGTGTCTGTGGGTCTCTGTGCGTGTCTGTGGGTCTCTGTGCGTGTCTGTGGGTCTCTGTGCGTGTCTGTGGGTCTCTGTGCGTGTCTGTGGGCCTCTGAGCGTGTCTGTGGGTCTCTGTGCGTGTCTGTGGGTCTCTGTGCGTGTCTGTGGGCCTCTGAGCGTGTCTGTGGGTCTCTGTGCGTGTCTGTGGGCCTCTGAGCGTGCCTGTGCGTCTCTGTGCGTGTCTGTGGGTCTCTGTGCGTGTCTGTGGGCCTCTGAGCGTGCCTGTGCGTCTCTGTGCGTGTCTGTGGGTCTCTGTGCGTGTCTGTCGGTCTCTGTGCGTGTCTGTGGGCCTCTGAGCGTGCCTGTGCGTCTCTGTGCGTGTCTGTGGGTCTCTGTGCGTGTCTGTGGGTCTCTGTGCGTGTCTGTGGGTCTCTGTGCGTGTCTGTGGGTCTCTGTGCGTGTCTGTCGGTCTCTGTGCGTGTCTGTGGGCCTCTGAGCGTGCCTGTGCGTCTCTGTGCGTGTCTGTGGGTCTCTGTGCGTGTCTGTGGGTCTCTGTGCGTGTCTGTGGGTCTCTGTGCGTGTCTGTGGGTCTCTGTGCGTGTCTGTGGGTATTTTTTGCGTGTCTGTGGGCCTCTGAGCGTGCCTGTGGGTCTCTGTGCGTGTCTTTGGGTCTCTGTGCGTGTCTGTGGGTCTCTGAGCGTGCCTGTGGGCCTCTGAGCGTGTCTGTCGGTCTCTGGGCGTGTCTGTGGGTCTCTGTGCGTGTCTGTGGGTATTTTTTGCGTGTCTGTCGGTCTCTGAGCGTGTCTGTGGGTCTCTGAGCGTGTCTGTGGGTCTCTGAGCGTGTCTGTGGGTCTCTGAGCGTGTGGGTCTCTGGGCGTGTCTGTGGGCCTCTGAGCGTGCCTGTGGGTCTCTGGGCGTGTCTGTGGGTCTCTGTGCGTGTCTGTGGGTCTCTGAGCGTGTCTGTCGGTCTCTGGGCGTGTCTGTCGGTCTCTGGGCGTGTCTGTCGGTCTCTGGGCGTGTCTGTGGGTCTCCGAGCGTGTCTGTGGGTCTCTGTGCGTGTCTGTGGGTCTCTGTGCGTGTCTGTGGGTCTCTGTGCGTGTCTGTGGGTCTCTGAGCGTGTCTGTGGGTCTCTGAGCGTGTCTGTGGGTCTCTGTGCGTGTCTGTGGGTCTCTGTGCGTGTCTGTGGGTCTCTGAGCGTGCCTGTGGGTCTCTGGGCGTGTCTGTGGGTCTCTGTGCGTGTCTGTGGGTCTCTGAGCGTGTCTGTGGGCCTCTGAGCGTGCCTGTGGGTCTCTGGGCGTGTCTGTGGGTCTCTGTGCGTGTCTGTGGGTCTCTGAGCGTGTCTGTGGGCCTTTGAGCGTGTCTGTGGGTCTCTGTGCGTGTCTGTGGGTCTCTGAGCGTGTCTGTGGGTCTCTGTGCGTGTCTGTAGGTCTCTGTGCGTGTCTGTGGGTCTCTGTGCGTGTCTGTGGGTCTCTGTGCGTGTCTGTGGGCCTCTGAGCGTGTCTGTGGGTCTCTGTGCGTGTCTGTGGGTCTCTGTGCGTGTCTGTGGGTCTCTGTGCGTGTCTGTGGGCCTCTGAGCGTGCCTGTGCGTCTCTGTGCGTGTCTGTGGGTCCCTGTGCGTGTCTGTGGGTCTCTGTGCGTGTCTGTGGGCCTCTGAGCGTGCCTTGTGCGTCTCTGTGCGTGTCTGTGGGTCTCTGTGCGTGTCTGTCGGTCTCTGTGCGTGTCTGTGTGCCTCTGAGCGTGCCTGTGCGTCTCTGTGCGTGTCTGTGGGTCTCTGTGCGTGTCTGTGGGTCTCTGTGTGTGTCTGTGGGTCTCTGTGCGTGTCTGTGGGTCTCTGTGCGTGTCTGTGGGCCTCTGAGTGTGCCTGTGGGTCTCTGTGCGTGTCTGTGGGTCTCTGTGCGTGTCTGTGGGTCTCTGAGCGTGCCTGTGGGCCTCTGAGCGTGTCTGTCGGTCTCTGGGCGTGTCTGTGGGTCTCTGTGCGTGTCTGTGGGTATTTTTTGCGTGTCTGTCGGTCTCTGAGCGTGTCTGTGGGTCTCTGAGCGTGTCTGTGGGTCTCTGAGCGTGTCTGTGGGTCTCTGAGCGTGTCTGTGGGTCTCTGAGCGTGTCTGTGGGTCTCTGAGCGTGTCTGTGGGTCTCTGAGCGTGCCTGTGGGTCTCTGTTAGTCCACCACTGGTAGCTGTATAACTTGTATTGTCTGCGTCTGGCTTGGGATAAAATAGGAAGCCTCACGAGAGATTCGGTGCTCATTCACGCATTTTAACCAGCGACGATGTGAGATAGCTGGACGGCTCCGAGGTCAGAGCGCTGAGCCAGCACCGCTGAGCACTTGACGTTTGAACCCAGATGTCAGCCACTCGTGGTTAGAAACCAGCTTCTCAAGTATAGCTATTTATTATTTATTTATTTCACCAGGTATGGCCCAATGAGCTATATAGCGACGTGGCCACAAATTATATCTCAATGAAGTTGCATATCATGTGGAAATGTATAGGAGCCAAATACTCTAAATGCACGTTTAGTCTAAATGTGGAAGGAAAAACCGGCGGACTCGAAGAAAAATCCACATGGCCATGGAGAAAACACGCAAACTCCAAATATACAGCCATTAGGGTCGGGATATAACCCACGACCTCCTGTATAGCAGGCGAGGTAGTTAACATCAAAATGATTGCCTTAGCCCATTTACCAATTACGGCACAAAAAGCCATTACATTAACTCAGGTTTTTCACCTATTGGAACTGAGTCCCATCTCTGACACTAAGCAAAAAGAAAATCAATATGCGATGAGCAAACACTATTTTGCTGGCCAATTAAAATGCGTGCCTCTAGTGTGGCTAATGAAGCCCCTCGATGGGACTTCAGATGCACTTCTTCTTTCGTGCGGCTCATGCAGATGCAGATCAACGACTTTCAATTTCACATTCAGGCGGTCAGGCCAGATAACCGCGTCAGGAGCAGCGGAGTGTATAATCACTGTGATGTCTCCTTCATATTTGCGGATTGGGCATTGCATGGTTATAGGATTCTATTAGCATGAATGATGCTATATAAAATTATTAAAGTATTATTATTGTTGTACGGTCTGTTCTGGATGACCACAGTCGCACACTGGAGAGGTTTTTTTATTTTCCAGTTGTGCATGAGGTATCTGCATCTGCTGCTGGTTTGTACAGTGGATGCGGTTTAGGGCGGACCATGAGCTTCGTGGATGATCAAACCCAGGGATCTTCTGCGTTGGGTATTTCATAAGGTATTCAGACGTACTGTAGTTCTTTGACGTACTATTCCGTGATGCACCTCCAGTTACAGACACCTGAACGGAAATGCACATCTCCCTTGGCGACGTGAACACCGATAGCACAACCGCAATCGAGAGGGAACAAGCCAATGGAGAAGCGCCATACCTGTGAGTTCAGGTCAAGGTCCTGCTGGTCAGACGTCAAGTCGTGCACCGAATTTAAAACCTCAACGGCGTCGTTCGCCGTGTGGATCTGGGAGGAGGCGTTGTAGATCACTTGCAGCAAGGCGTATGTCATCTGCAAAAATAAAGACACGTAGACCCAGGCTCGGACTGCCCGTTCACAAACACAAGACAGCACTTTCGATTTAAAGCTTTCGTGACTGCAAGGATTCATCTGCTTTGGTTCTTTCGGTAAAGTCACGTAGAATGAGAATAAAATAATAAAATAAAATAAGACAATAAAATTCTCACGACGACAGTCGCCCCGACAGTTCTGTTCTTTCACCTGATGAAGGCTACTTGTGTTGTGGCCGAAACGTCGTGAGAATTTTATCGTCTTATTTTATTATTTTATTCTCATTCTACTTGTCTTTACCGAAAGAACCAAAGAACAAGAGAGCACCTCTACCGGTTACAGGGTGCTGCGGTGGTTAGGATATGTTATCTCCCTCGCCTTGTATGCAGGAGGTCGCCGGTTCGATCCCGACCCCTGGACGCCTGTGTATTTGGAGTTTGCGTGTTCTCACTCCGTGGTCGTCGCATGTTCCTTCGCCAAACGGAAGCCAATGCAGCTCGGCGAGCGGACCGGGCGGGATGCGGAATTGAAACGGCGACCTCTGCATCCGCAAATCGCATTGCGGTAGCATCCACACGCGAGACTTGAAACGTGAAAACATTATCCCATTGTCCTGTTTAATACGCCGGGGTGTGTGTTTGTCTATCTGCCTGCCCGTCTGTTTTTAACTCACTTGTTGCTTGTGTCCCGGTGAGACGTCCTGACTCAATGAGACGCCTGCCACACGCACCAGCTGCAGGGTCCTCTGGACGTCCTGATCGGCCACGAGCGTGTCTAGAGTCCCGCCCGGGGACACCAGCTCACGCAGAGTGACCTCTAGCTGATCTTGCGGCAGCGCTGACACCTAAAGCAATCACAAAACAAAGATTCCCCCGCATAGCCTTGAACAGACTGTTGGGGTAAGTGCTGTAAGCGAGTAGCGCCGATGAAGGCTGGCAACGGCACACGAGGGGGTGGGTAGCCAAACGCCACGCCCGGCCGCCTTTCTCTCCTTAAGTGGCGATGTTTACACACCGCACCAGGTTCTCATTTTAGGCTGAGTCGACCTAGGGAAGTAGGTCCAGGACCGGTTCAGACAATTGTCACTGGTGTTGGCCGTGAGTGGCCGGGTTCGTAGCGCAGCGTGGCGCCAACGATGCTACACTACCGCTCTAGTGGCAGAGCCACCACCTAAAGCGATCACACGCATGTGCGCACACGCGATTTGCATCGCGATGCAATCACGTGCCGATGTAAGATGCGGCTGCACCCGAGTCAAGAGCCGCATGGCTCACAGGGTTATCTCTCTATATAAGGGAAATTTGTGATTATGTGCGTATGTTCAAAATGTTTAGCGTACTTCCCGACATGCAACAAACTTGAAATTTGCCATGTGGGTACTTTCCAGACTGTACACCATGGGCCTCCCCTAGGTCGACTCAACCTCAAACGAGTAACTGGTGTGGTGCGTGAACATCGCCACTGGGGAGACAAAGGCGGCCGGGCGTGGTGAATCCAAGTCCCGGGCGAAGCCGGGTAGTCAAGCTCCCACCTAATAAATGAAACTGAAATGTGCCGGCTATCTGCGCGCGTTGCGGTTGCGCGTTACGGCTCTCCGGTGCGTTGTTTGGACCGGGCGGGGAGTTCAACTCGCGTGCGTCGCTCGGCCACGACGTCCGACGTTTTTCGCTTCCGAGTGCTGCGAGCTTCTTCAGCTGGGCCGCGCGATACGTGGCGGCGCGGCTCAAGGTCGGGCGCCGTGCCGTGCGAACCGGCATGGGGGCAACCCCGCGGAAAACGCCACCCCAGAGAATGCGACGCAGCGCTCTGCCATTGTTCTCGATCCGCTGCTGGACGGGGGCCTCTCTACACACGGCCCACGTCGTGCGGGGGCGGGGGGGGGGGTTATGTGGCCATACTTCGCCACGTTAGGTCAGTGCGGACCGGTGAATGCAGGGAGTGCAGCCCCACAGCAGCCTTTAACAATGTGCTATGAACGTCGGTCGCCTTACCAAACACCATCCGTGAGGCTAAGACGGGGTTTGTTAAACAATACGCAATGTTATAGTTCTCCAGCAGCGGTTCTTAACATTTTTTTGCAGCCTTGCACCCCTTTGGTTCATAAATACATAGGGGTTTGATGAAACAAAGTACGTTGTGATTACGTGCTGCGCGCTTAGGGGCCGTCCATAAATGACGTCACGCTATTTTTTACCCCCCCCCCCCATCGTCACACGGCGTCACAAAAAGTCAGACCCCCCCACAAATATGACGTCACAAAGCTCTGCCCCCCCCCCAAAAAAAAATAAAACATGCTTCAAATCGCTTTAAACTATTGTCATTGTAGTGCGTATTTAATGTGGCGCTGCACTCTGATGTAGTTGGAGAAAACATTTATTAAAAAGTATATTTTATTAAGTAGAACGTGTTTTCTATATTTATTTAAAGTTGCGCATTTTGATGTGACGTCACATTTATGAAACCCCCCCCCCCTCGTAACACATCGTCACAAAGGTCTGACCACCCCCCCCCAGGTGCGTGACGTCATTTATGGACGGCCCCTTAATTTGTTTTTCGGTGATTTGCCTTCTAAAAAAATCTGGCCATGTCTCGCATCCCCAGAAAGGGCATCTCGCATCCCCAGGGTATGCGTGCATCCTAGATTAAGAACCACTGCTCTAGAGGAATAACTTAATTCCCAGTTCTCACAGCCACAATGAAGCTCTGATCTCCAGATTGAGGACTATTATAATTATTTGTCATTCTGTTTGTCCCCAACATGAGACTGACACTCTTAGGGTTCTGGGTCAATGCCGGATGATGAAAGCGCTAGACTGATCTATAATTAGAAATTGCTTCAGTACATTGAAAAAAAAAACATCTTCCAGAGAGGAGTGATGTTATTGCTCACACAAATTTGCGGTTGTCTTGATGGATTGGCTGTCGGCTTGTGTTATACTCGGGACAATAGCAGCCGCTCAAGAGATGGATAAGAAGACATTGCCACCTAATTTCTAGTATAATAATATTAATCATAACAGTGGCCCTTATTTAAGCTAAACTATGTTTTATTTTACCAGGTAAGGCCCACTGAGCTGTACAGCTCTTTTTCAGAAGCAACCTGGCAGTCAGGAATGATAGCTCCACAATGTGGCTTATACTATGGAGATAAATAGAAACCAAACACTCTAAACGCTCGTTGATTCTAAATGTGGAGGAGAAAAACTGGAGGACGTGAATACAAATCCACACAACCACGAGGAGAACGCCAAATATACAGGCACCAGGGTCGGGATTGAACACACGTCCTCCTGTACACCAAGCGGGGTATTTAATATCTCGCCAGGGAAGTGCGTTTCGCAATTGTGTATCCATGTGTTCTGTGTTAGTAAGGCATGTGTTTCACAATTGTGTATCCGTGTGTTCTGTGTTAGTAAGGCATGTGTTTCACAATTGTGTATCCGTGTGTTCTGTGTTAGTAAGGCATGTGTTTCACAATTGTGTATCCGTGTGTTCTGTGCTAGTAAGGCATGTGTTTCACAATTGTGTATCCGTGTGTTCCGTGTTAGTAAGGCATGTGTTTCACAATTGTGTATCCGTGTGTTCTGTGTTAGTAAGGCATGTGTTTCACAATTGTGTATCCGTGTGTTCTGTGTTAGTAAGGCATGTGTTTCACAATTGTGTATCCGTGTGTTCTGTGTTAGTACGGCATGTGTTTCACAATTGTGTATGCGTGTGTTTCATCACGGCAGCGTGGCACGGACATTCCCGGTGCATACGCGCAATTTCTCCTGCACGATACCCATGCTGCAGCCTGCGCTTCCCTGACCCCCCCGCCACCCCCCCAATCCTGAAGGCTGCAAGCTGATAACCTCCTACGCAGTCGTAGCAGTGTTACAATGTATTTGACCAATCAAGCTGTTAAACCGCCGTTGACACCTCGATTGCCATGGGGAATTCACTGCAGCTGCCGATCGGGCTGCACACGAAAACGGAGACTTGGAGGATATCGCCGGCGCCACCACCACTGCCAGCACCGCCCCTCGCTTCTCCCGCCGGCAGCATCAGCGCCGCGCTCTCCCGGGTGCTGCTGCGAGAAACGACAAGTTGCCGCTCGCCGCTGTGCACCACGACGCGATAGAGCAGGTCCGAGGGCGCGGCCGCATCATCGCCGAGCCAGCCCTGGCACGAGAACTGGAACGCAGTGCTCAGAGCCACACCTGCAGGAACAATCGGGCCACGCGCAAGCAGCTGTGGTTAGTTCAACAAAGGCGGACAGAATCAGAATCTTTTACGCTTCGTACCGGAGGAATCCGATGAGCTACGAAGCTCTTCTTCGCAGATGTCCAGCGACGACGACGCGACGCGCTCGTGAACCAACGCCGTGGCCCCTTTTTACATCGCGCGTGAAAACAGAGACCGAGGCTGGAGGAATAGAGCTTGATAAAGAGAGTTGGAGACTGCGCTTCATGGTATGGGGGCCCTGGTGAGAATAACGTCTGAGATAAATGTTTCCGGATTGACATAATTTGGCATAGGATTGTATGTAGTACAGTTACAGCTGGTTTGTCAATCGGCCGACTGCTGGATCAGAGCTTCTCCCACATTGCGTGGGTTGTAGGGGTTATACGACCATACTTGACCGTGACGGTCCGAGTGGCAGCACGGACGAGGTAGCGTAGAAGTACAATACAACAATGCACTTTGCTTCTCCGACCTCTCGCCGTCCACCACGTAGCGCCGCAGCCACCTTCTGCAACCTGGCATCGACTAAGCAGCACCCGGGCTCAACCCTCCCTCGATTTTGCGATCTGACGAGGTTGGGTGCGTTCCGGTTGAGTCCGGTCACAGCCACGCGGTACATGGGTGATGTGCAACTTGGTTTAACAATGATACGGGCTCTTAATTCTCCTTCTCAGCAGGGCCCTGCGTCCACTGGGATGTCTGGCCAAACCCATGAATGAGTGTTTGGTACGTGAGAAGGGGTTTGCTGCACAGGGATAGCGCCCACTTGGGGGATCCCATTGGCTAGACCGCGGTAGGGCATTGCAATGCTTTGGTACCCAGAGAGAACCCACACATACAAGGGGGGGAAACAAGCACCGCACACTTAGAAACATGCATTGAGATTACTTAGATTATACTTGCTGCTATAAATGTCCAAATTATAAGCCACTTTGTTAAGCCATCATTTGTCACCAGGTGGCTTCTGAAAAATGAGTTAATACCTGAGTGGGCTTTACCTGGTAGGATGGTTTAGTTTTATTTATTTTGGTTGCTGATTTGGTTAGCTTTCTTGTACTTTGCACTGCTATCGTGTTTTTGTACTGTTTGTTGTTGTAGCGTTCTGACCCCGTGACCCTACAGGACATCTGTAAAAAAGAGCTTTATAGCTCACCGGATTCCTCCACTATAAATATATATTCTGATTCTTGATCCAAAAATATCAATGTCTGTACTGGCATCTCCTGGCCATACCTCGCAGCTCAAGCCTACATCACCCCGTGTATATGTGAGTAACACAGCCAGTTGTCCCATGCAAGTACAATCCAGCCTCCAGCCTGCTTAGCTTCTGATATCTGATTAAATCATGCGCATTCAGGGTCGGGATTGAACCCACGACCTCCTGCATATGAGGCGAGGTCGTTAACATTTCGCGACAGCGGCGTCCAATCAATGATGGAATTGATGGAAATGGCCGAAGATCCTAATGACGTGCCCTCCTGAAAAAAAGGCAACTTGAGACTCATTAATAAAGGGCATTATTATTATGACTACCATAGTGGTCCAGTTTATGAAATGGCTAAATTGACTTTTGGTCCCGATTGGATGATCTGTGTGTGTATTGAGATTGATTGTGAAGAGCACAGCAAAAATACTTTTCGATGAAACTACGGCTAGAATATGAAACTATGGCTGTTTGCTTTTGCGACGAAATTGGAGGATCCCAGGGCGCAGGGTAGGGACACTGTGAGGGCAGATCTTGTAGGTCGCGCTTTGGCGAGTTGTGGTGGAATCAAGAGCTTTCGCCACGGTGACGATATATTAACTACCTCACATGATAAAACAGGGCATCATGGGTTCGAGCCCCACCCTGATGCGCATTGTATATATGGAGTTTGTGTGTCTCTCTCCCCGTGGTCATGTTAAAAAAATTCTCCGCGTCCTCCGGGTTTTCCCTCCAGTTTAGAGTCAACGTCATGCGTTTAGAGTAGCGTCCTTGATTGCAAGGCCCGCGGGCCACTGGCGGCCTCTGGTGGGCTTTTAGAGAAACCCCTGACGTGCGCCCCCCCCCGATAATAGGCAAAGAGTTAAAATATCCCCCATCATCATCATCGTCATCATCGTCATCATCGTACTGTCACAAACCCACTGGTTTCAAATGTGTGGTGGCCCTCACCCTGATGATGTCTTATCGGTGAAAGTGCCCCCCACCCCCTCTTAAAATGAATGAAGAGTATTTGGCCGCTATAAATGATAAGCCACTTCGTTGAGCCTATCATTCGTGGCCAGGTCTCATCCAATAAAGAGCCACATAGCTCAGCGGGTCCTTACTTGGTAGGCAAAAAAAAAGTTTAACAAATAGTTTAATAGATTTGAAGCTTTCGTGACTGCAGGAATCCATACTCTTTGGTTCTTTCGGTAAAGTCACGTAGATAGAAAATTAATAGATCACGACGTTTCGATCGCAACATAAGCGACCGTCTTCAGGTGAGCTGAAAACGGTCGCCTGAAGACGGTCGCTTGTGCTGCGATCGAAACGTCGTGCTCTATTAATTTTCTATCTAAGTGACTTTACCGAAAGAACCAAAGAGTAGAGTTTAATAGATCTTTTGTATTTACCCGACGTGGGTTGAACAGCGCAGGTGCCACCGTAAGGAGGGCGCGTTGCTGATGTCCACATCTTCGATTGCCCCATTTGACCTCTCATCCCTGAAGCCTCGACCGTGAGCTCGTACCGCCCCCCTGCAGCCAAGCTGTCCGCGTTCACTTTGAGGCCGATGCCTTCAGAGATATACATAGACAGATGAAGAAGAATAAACGTTAGAAGCATTAAAACAACGAAGCCCTTTCCTCGCTTGATGTCGTAAAATGAGGGGAAACGGATTTATTTGACGTCGAAAATTATTGTTCACGATTGGTTTCTTATTGCGTTAGATCGCGGTGGAGTTATAATGTTAGTTTATTTATTTTTTACTTACGATAACTCTCCACCACCCAGCGGCAGAGTCAATGGACTCAAATTGTTCCACGTTCATGGGCAAATTCGTGCGGCCCCCCACAACATTTATTTGTTTTTTTAGCAAAAAACGCGAGGAGAAATGTTCGAAATGTGAAGCTGGCAGAGCCGACCTGCTGTTTGACACTAGAAGATGCTGGGCGTAACCTCGAACAAGACGTCCAATCAAAATTGTCAAAATGTTGCTCACTTTTCAACATTCCTCCTCTGGTTTTTCTGACAAACCAAATCAATTGGCACATTTACCCACGTGACAACCTGATGGTTATAGTTACATTTGATATCATACCCTATATGATCTCAACCAAAAAGAAACTAGTCATGAGTCATACTATTGGGTCGTGAAAGCTTGCACTGCAAAAGTAGTTCAAATATATCAAGTCGTTTAATCAGTGTTCACTTAGCAAAGCAATGGATGTCTCAATTCGAAGCGAATCTCGTACGCAAAACTCACAATGATTAATCGATTCATCCATGAAACATAAAATTATCTGGAGTTTGAATTCATTTCCAGCGTTGTGGGATGCAATTGCATGAATGACGCTATATAAAATGAAATTATTATTAAATATTATTGAGCATCGGAATACAGTCGCACCTCTCTGAACACTGCGTAAAACACTTTGGTGGTCACGCTATAACAGTACAATACGATACATGGCGATTATCGCAATACTATTCAATACGACATGGTGATGATCGCAATACTATTCGATATGACATGGTTATTATAATAATACAATTCGATATGACATGGTTATTATCATAATACTATTTGATACATGGTGATTATCGCAAAACTATTAGCGACAAAGTGATTATCGCAATACTATTCGACATGACATGGTGATTATCGCAATGCAATTCGATAAGACACGGTGATTATCCCATTACCCCGTCATGTGACACGGATGCAAGACACGATGGGAGCTGTGTGCCCTGCCCACTGTTTTGTGAGCGGCACACTGTGGCGCGTGGAGTCTATTGCTGTACTTCTATAGCGTGAATAAGCATTACCTACAGACACATTCAATATCCCGTGTAAACATTACTGAACGTTTGCACAGAAACGAAACGCCTCAATTGTAAAACGACGCCTCGATCTTTATAATTCAACAAAGGAGATGAAGCCAATTTGTAAAATTGCTGAGGCTCATTATCCTCCTATTACAAGCATATATAAACTGTCGATGAAGATCGCAGACAAATTAATGATGGTCAATTGAGAGATGAACCAACAACCAGGGCAAGTTGGTTTTATATATTGTTGCTATCTTTAGCCCCACACTTGGTATCATATTATTGCAAGGAAAACATAATTTGAAAACGCTGCGCCCATTATGCCTAAATGCCGTAGACTGCTGAAAGGCATTTAACTTGGTGGAAACCGATGGAGTAACTCATCGAAGCCCTCACAAAACCAGGCCTTCGTTCAATGTACATCGCATGCACGCATGCACATCATCAAATCCATTTATGAAGACGACCAAAAGGCTGTTCAAAAGAGGAGTTCGGCAAGGAGATATCATGTACTCACCAAGGATATTCAGAGCAGCACTTGATGACATATTTATATCTAAACAAGCTCAAGCCTCCTGTAAACCACGTGACTTCTGTGCGTAGCCACCCCCACTCTGAACCCTTCCCCTCTTTCCGCCGCCACCCGCTGTGAGAAACGACGCCGCTCCTCCTCGTGTTAAGGCTCTGATTCAGCCTCTTCCTCCCTCTTATCTCTCCTGCACCCTCTGCTTCTCCGTTCCTATCCCATACATATATTTGTCACGCGAATTCCGGTGGTTATCCTCGCAGCAGCACAGACTTTTGACAAAGCCAACGCGTGCCGTCTGGAACGCTCTTCCTTCTGATATGAGGAAGCCACAAGGAACTCTGCACTTTTAAATCATCTAGATTGAATACACATTTATTTAGAACTGATTTTTGTGTTTAGTTTGTTGTCCTTCCCCTCGCACCTCTGATTAGCATGGTTGGCTACTTACGGTGCGAAAGAAGTTCAACAATATATGTATTCATTGATATATATATGAAATTTATATTTTTACGTTTAAACATACTCTATATTTATGACCCCAATCCCTATTATCCTCATAAGCTGAAAGTGTTAATTTTCGAGGATTTAATATTCGCGTTGTTCTCCAGTAACTTATCCCACGCAAATATTAAGGCTTTACTGTATTGGATAAATTATGAAAAGAAACAGAAGATCGACCCAAGCTATAAGTATTCTGATACTTGAATTGGCTTTGTACTGTTCACCTTTTGGCGTTCTCTGGTCTGACACTGATGAGACTAGGCCATAAAGAAGGCTGCTGTCTCTGGTGTAAGCCAATAACTTTCAAAGACAATGCTCCCATACATTATTACAAGACCATGTTTGTTTACGTGTTTTGCCACAAGTATGTGTGGTTAATACACTTTACGCCTTGCAAAAGGTATCTATTAGATTCTTGAACATCTGAACACTGCCTGTTTTATTGCCAGAAAGGGTAAAACCTATTCTTATTTTTGAAATAATTTTTAAGACTGGCAAAACAGTCCCATAGATGTATTGGAGAAGTCAAATAATAATAATAACATGATACACAGTAATGCCGTGGAGGAAAATATAAACACCCGAAGGATAAAGTCTCCTACCACTTTGTCGAACAAGGGAGCCCTGGTCAATGTCGTACGCCGTGGTGTCCGTGTTGAACTGCCTCAGTGACCACGAGTAGGAGATGTCTTCACCTCTGGTGCAGTTGGAGCACTGGGCCACCGCATAGAACGTCGACGTTGGATCAATCTTCTCGTTGCAGTTTTCCAAACATCTATGCATGCACACACACAGAAACGCAGGAATGAGGACAATCGCACGGTAGTTAGAGAGCTGCTGTAATTCTTCTTTAAAGTCAGCAATTGACAGCATCTCGGGAACTTGGTGTGTCCGATGAGTGCGGTTGGCCACGTATGGCGTGAAATAAGTTCAAAGCACATCTATCACGGACTCATTTAGCGACACCCACACTCGACCCTACCACACTGCTGGGTTGGGCAGGTGGTGGGAGATCTAAGAACCTTGCAACGTCATTTCAATTGCAGCGCCAGGAGATGGAATCGAACCGGCGCCCTCTGGATTGCAAGTCCAGCGCACTGAACATCAACACCACAGTGGAAGCATTCTGCCGCCTCTGTATTTCAATGCAAAATAAACTCACTTAATACATAAACTAATATCGCATTGAGCACAAATCAAAAAACCCTCAACCACATCCATAATTCGTGGTAGCCTAGGGGTTAAACATATATAGTTGGCCGATGTTTCAGGCAAAGTATCCTTCTTCAGACATCGATTGATTTGTCGTTGGATGATCGTCGCGTCGCGGCACTCGCTGTGTCGAGTGCGTGAAGTGCATGAGTGAGCATCCCCCCCCGGTCACCTGATGGTGATCTCCAGAGGTGTCCCTTTGGTCACATTGATCGTCTGCTCGGATGTCACCACTCTGCTGCCCGACGACGCCACGAGCCGCACGTAGAATATGGAGCTCGCCACGACGGAGGCCCCCGGCAGCCGAAAGACTCTGCGCCCAACGACCTTCGCCCCGGCACAGGCCGAGGCGTTGGCCATGGCGAATTCGAGCATGGCGTTCGTCTTGCAGAACCAGTCATAGGCGACGCCGCTCACGGCTGCGGCATCTCCTGAACTTGACACCGCCTCCACCAGGATGTCTCTCCCCTCGCCCACCAACCTGTAGTGGCCTCCAGACAGCTGGACATCCAGCAGAGGCTCCTCGAACCTGAGGAAAACGGGCTCGCTCACGCTCTGGATACCGGCGAGGGAAATGATGGCGGTGACCGTCAGCTGGTAAGTGCCCAGAGGGAACTGGTTTGGCGCGAACACGATGGTGAGCGTGTTGGAATTCCCAGAGTAGGACCGGGTGTGATTGATCTGCTGCGCCGTCCACTTGAGACTCATGCGCATGCCCGACACCACACAACTCCTTTGCACGTCCACCGGCAGGCTGAGGCCGTCCGTGATGCGCACGACCTTGGGCGCATCTGCAGCCTTTGCGTCGTCCTGAATGGTCACTGCACCGAGCTTGCAGCCGAATCTGTTCACGGTCACGTTCATGCTCTGGCTGGCACTGGATATTACGTTGGTCGCGTTAACCGTGGCAGTGAACATCCGCATTTGCTTGTAGGTGAACTGGAAAGAGCCGGACTTGTAGTCCAGCGTTACGTATTGACACGATGGGCAACCGTCCTTGCAAAACATGGGCCCTAGGATCAGGTTTTCTCCGTTTCCCATGTCCCATCGGAAACAGACGGGACCACCCGGCAAGTTGGCGACGGTAATTTTGACCTTGCCGTTCACGCTCGTCGGATCATAATCTATCTCGGGCGTTTTCAGCGCCTTTGAGCACGCGAGAAGTTCCAGCCGCAGGGAAATCCGACCGTGCCACGCCACTGGCATGACTCGTATGCCGGAGGCCGGCACGGTCGTGTTGAAGAGCAGACTCCGCTCCGTCGTCCCGTCAACATTCCCGGCAAAAACCTACAGGCGTGGGAGGCGGTGGGTACAATGATATCACGGCGGGAAAATGCTTTGTCAGTCTCTGCTTGTCATTCCAATCCAATCCGCTGTGTCAACAATGAGGAACCTCCATCACGACTGTGAGATGTGTGCGGGCTGGAATAGAAAGAGAAATAACAACGCGGCAGGGTGTCCTCTCTCTTAGTTGGTGGTCTAAATGATAAATAATTAAAAATAACATGACCACACGGTACAGCTCTTTTGAGCTCATGGTCTGGACAAGGCCGAGAGCATTGTACATTTAGTCCTCACACATCATGGCAGCCGTCTGTGGTTAAACCGGGATCTCTCAGTTGCAGTGAGTCGATGGTCTGAGCACCGTCACCAATGACTGCAAAAAAACCCATTCCCTTTGGTGCCCTACTTTGTTTGGTCAAATTGAGGATACTTCATTTGACTAAATTTTAGATCTTGAGAATGATATATCAGCATGGGTTGGAGGTTAAGTGCCGCTCCTGTACCATTCCTGTTCTGCTGAAATGTGCACTGATGCGATATTAGCACGTAAAATATAGTTTGATGGATTGATTGCCCTGTAATGTGCAAACCAGAGGTCAAGTGAAGTGATATCAGCGGTAGCTCTGCGGTATCCACATCCCATTGGCCCGGTCTGGAACACAAAGGGTTGTAGCACTGCCATGTGAGGTTAAGAAGAGCCTCATGGCTCATCGGATACCTCCAGCCTAAAATATTCTGATTCTGAAATGGATTCTTAGTCTCGTGCCACGACACCAATCGCACAATCGACATAACAATTGCGCAAAACAAAATATCACAAGCATATTCTGACAAAGCCGTTCATTCTCGCCCCTCTCATCGGCAAGCAGCACCAACTGTCCATTACCTGATTTTCACCTTTGGCGTCAAGAGGCTTCCATTCTTTTCCATCTGCCCTCAAGACAACCACCTGGAAATCCGTGACCCACGTGTTGTTACCGGGCGCACCCTGCAGGACCAAGCCACTGATGGGAAACGACACGCCAAGGTCGACCTGTAGGTACTCGCCGGTCCGGTCGTGCCGGGGACTCCAGCTCCCCGCAGCGTTGTTCAGCCTCGCCGATGTCGCCCCGAGCCCTGCTGCCGAATCTTCTGAAGTGGCCGTGAAGGCCGAATCTGGAATAAACCCCGACTGGAGTCCAACGGAAATCAAGCAATCTGAGAAAGATGAAATGGAGCAAACGGTCGCGTTGTTAGGGCTGGACGTACGTACGTACTGCATGTACGTTGAACCTTTTTCGCACCGTACATAGCCAACCGTGCTCATTAGAGGTGTGGATGGTGTTATAATCGACATATCGCACACCAGGGTAAGATGTTCACGAAGTCACCACGGGCAATGCCACTGACAATGTCACAGCTTCCCATCTCTCCATTCCTTCCACCAAATCACGGAGTTGTTGAGTGCTTTCCTCTTGCAGCAACCACGCCGTCTATGTATGTATCTAGAACTTCTTTCACCCCATACGTAGACAACCGTGCTAATCGGAGGTGTGGATGGTGTTATGATCGGCAGGAGCGGAAACGGTGCCAGGGTCATTGCCGGGCGGTGGCGGTGGTGGTGGCTACACTGCTTCTGCTGCACATGGCTGCCCTGTGTGCCAGTGCCGTGGAGGCAGCAGCGAGGGTTGGTGGATCACACAGATAAGTTGCAAAACTCCCTTCCCGTGGGCGTCAGGGAGATGCCATGCCCTGGAGCATTGCCCCTTCGCGCGGCGGGTTTTCTCCGGGCGCTCCGGTTTCCTGCCCACGTGCAAACACTCATTTACTGGCCGATAACGCCTTAATTTGTAGGGGACCGCGGAGCTTTGGGCAACTGTTGGTAATGCCGGCTCCTCACCACCTGGCTGCTGCCCTCCCACGTGTCTGCGGTTCCTCGGCGACTGCGAGAGATGCAATTTTGCACGAACGACGACGCGATGTTCCAAACGAACTAAACAACAATTAATTTGGTACGTCACATGACCACAAAACACTTTACCTGTGCTGGACGTACTACGTAAACTTAATAACACGACCAGTTGTGTGCAAAAGTAAGCGTGTTTTAATTAATTAATTACAATCGAAGTTATTTTAAAGAATCTTCTTAGAATGACCAGTTGAAAATATATTCTTGGTTCTTTCGGTAAAGTCACGTGACTTTACCGAAATAACCAAGAATATGAATCCCTGCAGTCACGAAAGCTTTAAATAAAAATTCAGTTGAAAATAATTATAATTAGGATCAGCTATATTTTCTTCACCGTATGAATCTGGGGGGCGGCCTTCAGCGACTTGGGGGCCCGATGTTTGTTTTTGAGCCTTGCCTCTGCCTAGCATCGCAGACGCGTAGTGTTCAGCAAACTCTGCAATGGGGCAGTTTCTATATAGAGACGAATGGTCTGTCTGCTCTATGGAGTTGGCTGGTGAGTTCATGAAGTCTGCTTCAAAGCACTCTGTTGCGATCGAAGAGGACGTTTATAGACACCGTGACTTTCAGTAGCGGTGGGGACACTGCTTTTTGTGTTTAGTTGTCCTTCACCAGTTATCCGATCATTTATCTTGTGAGTTTTAATTTACGAAACTGTGCGATGGCAAAGAAACAGAAGCGTAGTGTTTGTTTTACTTTAAATCAGGATTTTTCAAACCTCTTTAAGTGAATGCGTTTTTTGTATGGACTTTTGTAACACAACAAGATCAATACATTCTTTACTACAAATGTTTGTTTTGTTCATTAACAAACAACATTTTGTTAACTTAAATATAATTTATACCTATAGTGATTTCTGGCATAGAGATCCACAGAAAATGGTTATGTTTTTTTATTATCTGCGATTTTTTATTATCCGCAGCCGTCCTCCCCATCATTGGCACGGAAAATCGAGAATCTAATCGAGAGTCCCTCGTGGCCTTGTAGGACCCTTGGTTCGTCTTCAAGTCAGAAGACGAATCGATGAAGTTTTTCTTTCTAATAGAAAGGAAAACTGATGATGTACACGTACGTCATCGAAATGCCAAAGGGTTAACAAACCATTAAATTGAGGTAGTCATGGCGTTCAGATGTCAGAGTGCTGAGCTAGCACCGCTGAGAACCTGGCTTTGAATAATCAAAATCACTTAATTGGGGAAAAAAAATACTTTGTAACATCACCCATACTTGCAAGCTAATGTCCAAGTGCAAGGCCAAAGCTTGCTGCATCGGGACAGCTGCCTTCCCACGTCTCTCCCCCAGTAATGGAGATCATGACTCTCAATGTGGGTCTCATCTACATCGCTACGTTCTGATCGAGTAAAACATGTGGCGTCATGACTTATTTAGCTGGCGTGCAAAATGCACGCGAGTGCACTGACTGCGCGGGTCGAAACCGAGACACGTTAACAAACAAGGGAAGAAAAATCACGCGTACGGATGGATTCTGTAATGCTTATCTCCCGAAGAGCAACGCAACTTCGTACCACAGTGTCATGTTTATTGGACCATCATCCTGAGGCGTTACAGGCAGACAGAGAAACCCAAATGGGCAGACTGAGAGAACACGACCGCGCTTTGAACCTGCGTCGAAACTTTGGTAATGTTACTCACCTGACAGGGTCCAACCTTCGCCCGCTGTGCTCCACCACTGGTCATTGGTTGTTGAATTCCGACTACCGTTTGATCCTTGAACGTTGATTTGTCCATCGTTACCCACATTCCCTTGCCCTTGCCCTTTCCCATTCCCATTCCCAAAGGCATTGCCGCTCTTCCTCCTCATGCGTCTCGAGCCAGGTCTTCCGCCGCCTCGACAATTCCGGCACCTGGCCCCAGGTGACTGTTGCTCGTCATCGTGGCCCAAACGGCCCACTAACCGTGGCTGATGGGCAGTGGGTACATTTTTTGGTTTGTCGGCCGATACATTCTGTGGGTCGTTGCTCTCTAACCCCAGAAGTGGCGCTTTGCCATTTCCCGGTGATTCTTGTCGGATGGCTTCCGATGAAGTCTGCTTCTGGTCACCAAGGAAACCTTGGCCGATGGACTCTGTTGAGCGTTTCTCGCGGCCTTCCGGTAGATGTTGACTGAGGGGCCTTGGCGAAGAGGACTCCGTGGGATTATTGTCTGAGCCATGTTTTCCAATGTCACTTGCCAGGAGTAAACAACCTAAAATTGAGAAATGAGTGATCAAAATCAACATCGTTGTCTCTCCCGTGTGCACTACATGTGATAAACTCACCATGCGTGGAGAATGTGAGATTTGTCTGGTGAGTGTCTGGTTAGCTGTGGAGTGCCTGCCGAGCAATGAATGTCTCTGAGGCATCACGTGAGTGGTGAGGGTTATATGAGCAGTGAATGCACGGTGAGTCATGTAAATTCAATGGTGATTATCTGCTGAGGAACGGGTGAGTGGGGTCAGTTGAACGGTGAGCCTTTGTTCAGTGGTGAGTCTGTCTGGTGAGTAATTGGTCAGGGTTTGGTGACCGGTGAGTACATGGTAAGTCAAGTAAATTGTATATGTGTATTGCTTGTGAATGCGCGGGCATGCTTATTTAAATACACATCTATAGTTGTGAGTGTGCGAGTGCGTTCAGGCTATACGGGGGATCTTAGTCTTTGTTGTGTGTGGGGAGTGATGGTGCAGCGGTTGGCGCGCTGTGCTACGAACTCAACAACTCGAGTTGCGATTCCAGCACGCGACCAACACCAGTGACGATTATCGTCGACAGCCTCAAATGAGTACCTGGTCCGGTCTGTAAACATCGCCACTGGGGAGACAACAGCAACTGGGCGTGGTATTGGCCACCCCCCCCCCCCCGTCGTGCGCTACAGTGCCGGCCATCTTAGGTGCTACTTGCTAACAGCACTTGCACCAACAGTCAGTTCTGTCTATACGGGGGACCTTTGTTGTCGGGAGCGGTAGTGCTTCGGGTAGCGTGATGCACTTCGAACCCGGCGAACCGAGTTCGAATCCAGCTCATGGCCATCAACAGTGACGATTATCTAAACCATTCCTGGGCGTCCCGTAGGTTGACTCAAATGAGTACCTGGTGTGTGGTGTGTAAACATCGCCACTAAGGAAACAAAGGCGGCTGGGTGTGGTGCTGGCCTTCATAGGTCGCGGCATTCATAGGTGCCACTCGCTAACAGCACTTGCCCCAAAAGTATGTTAGGCTATACGGGGGGTCTTAGTCTTGTGTTTAAAAGACGTGGGCGGTCCATAAAAAAATAATCGTCGCAAGAACACAAACCTGGTTTTGGGCTGAGGTAGGAGCCAATCAAAGGCAAGGGAAAACACACCATGGCAGCGTGCCACACCTATGGCTCACATCAATGAGGCCCTGGGTTCGATTCCCGACTCGGGCACTGTGTGGCGTTTGTAAGTTGCTCCCCCTGTTCTGCATGGGTTTTCTCCCAAACATCCCGATGCTTAAAACAATGTCTGCAAATTACTTAATTGGGATCACACATTATCACCCCAACTCCTTTGAAACCAGGTAAAGCCAACTGAGCTTTCCAGCTCTTTCTCAGAAGCAACCTGGCCACACACGTGATATAATTTATCATGTCGAAATTTACAGCAGCCAAATGCTCCACACGCAGGTTTCCTGGCCAAGCAAGTATAATAACAGTCTCGTCCCCTTCACCTGATGAAGGCCGCTTGTGTTGTGGCCGAAATGTCGTGAGAATATTATTGTGTTATTTTATTTTATCAATTTATTATTTTATTCTCATTCTACGTGACTTTACCGAAAGAACCAAAGAAGATGAATCCTTGAAGTCACGAAAGCTTTAAATCGAAAAGTATAATAACGTCACGATAACTGCTGCAGACCACGTGTCAAATGTATCCATATTATTCTACGCCCATGGACAATTACAAAGGGGGGCTCTGAACACACGTCCTTGACAATCGCCCGACGTGAAGTTAAGCTTCCCCGCTCTCTTTCGTACAACTCCCTGCCCCAGTCTCCGGGCTCGCTGATACTCACCAGAACCGGAGGAACGCCCTCGTGCAATGCCAGACTGAGCAGCTGCTATCAGTCGATCGGGCGGCGCCAGAGACACTGCCAGTGATGCTGAAGTCAGCAGTAGGCCCTGAAGCCACGCGTATTTCACAGCCTGCTGGCGAAAGGGGTTTGCGAAACAAAATAAGCAGACAATACGCCTTCTTCCCATCCCTCCATAGAAACAATACAACATTTGTTTTACTTTACGCATCCCATCAAGCCACACGGCCCTCTGGGAGTGCACAATTAAAAAAGATTGGTTCAAATGAAAGAAAAGTTCAGACCGGCTTCAACGTTCTGTGTCTCATCAAGCTGAGGGCAGACTTTGGTTGGTCGAACCAATGCTGGTAAACTGCCCGATGTTTTTTTTTTTAAACCGAGGACCAGAGAGAGTGGGTCCAGAGAATGAACCGCAAATACACACACACGTGGAAGGGGTTACATCACGCGACCTGTGCCGATGATGGACTATCCGTGGTGGCAGGGAGGCGGGTGGATTTAAAAAACGTGCCCCAATTTGATCAACCGCCCCATTACACCATGGCAGCAGTGTGTGAGCATGATAGCTTAGAGCAGTGGTTCTTTTCAACTTGGTGTGCACGCACCCCCTGGGGGGTGTGAGATGCCCTCTCTGGGGTGCGAGACATGGCCAGATTGTTTTAGAAGTTAAATAATGAAAAACACAGATTAAGCACGGGCACGTAAGTAACAACTACTTTAGATTTGAAGTTTTCGTGATTGCAGGGATCCATACTCTTTGGTTCTTTCGGTAAAGTCACGTAGGTATGAAATAAATTAAATCACGACGTTTCGGGCGCAACACATGCGTCCGTCATCAGGTGGGACAACCACAGCAAGAAACAATTGCTGAAGTGGGCAAGAGGGCTGCAGTACCAAAGAGTAACAACTACTTTGTTTCTTCGAACCTATTTATTTATTAACATTATGTGTATATATATTTACGATTGAGAAAAAAAGCGGTGCAAGGCTGCAGTAAAGGTTAAGAAGTACTGGCTAAAAATGTAAATGCCCAGAAAACAAATCTGTTGAAAATTTACATTTCCCCCCAAAAATATTTTACGTGATGCATTGCTGTCACGGTGTCTGCGAGGTTATATTTAGACGTCATGCAAATATCTTTGTGCTAAATCTAGTTTAATGCCTATGATGTACACTTGTGCAGGGCCGGCCGAGCTGGCCAAATCACATTGCAAGCAAACGTGCTTTTTGGTTATTTCAGGCGTGGCCAGGGCACGCTCATAATCAGATTGCGTAACGTAATCAACTGAGCCATTCACGGCGACATCGCCGAGAATCTAATTTGTCTGCATGAGCCATGCCGTGACCTTTTATACCAGCTTCCTTTGGACCGAATCTCGAATCATTAATCTTCCCCCACGACATGCATTTTAAAACAAAACCCATAAACATTCGCCTAATTTGTGATTCGAAGTGGTCGCCGTGAGAGTTCCGGCTTGCGGTGGCAGAACAAATTGATTATAATTCGCAGCTCTTAGTCATTTCACCGCGCGTCACGTCTAGCGGTAGCCTTGATCTCACTTCGCTGCGCTGGTCAGTGTTGGCGAGGTCGGGCCTCGGGACAGGTTCACGTGTGGCTTACCGCTGACATTGACCACGGCCGGGAATTAAACTCAGATCCCCGGTGTTCCCGTGTGACCGTGGTGGCAAGCCACGGGGAGGAAAGAGGGTTACTGGCGCAATGCGACGACCAGTCCAGGGGCAGTTGCCAAACGAATACATTATTTTGGCGAATTTATATATTATGAGGACGTACTCATTGCACACAAAGCGCTCGCCGCAAATAAACCACAATGCTTTGCTGATCTCATCATGGAGCAAAAACCATCACGTGAACTCCGGTCATCCTCGCAGTAGCGGATTTTGGATAACCGTCGAACAAAGACGGTCACCGCATCGAGCACTTTCGGGCGCGCTTCTGCGGCTGTCTCAAACGCTCTTCCTTCCGATGTTACGGTGCGAAAGAAGCTCAACATACATACATACCAGGCGTTCTACTAAATACAACATTTTAGAATATACAGTTGGTTTATTCAAGATGTGAGATTGCAAATGTTGGTTTGATTGGCCATGGGACGAACGTTTTAAAATTACCTTTTGTTTGCCAATTTCAGCCATAATTGGGTGGGGAATGCTGGGTATTACCCACAGATTTTCATTTGAATTGCACCCACAAACAATGGCCGAAAGTGAACGCAAGCAGAATCCAGTTCTGATTCCACGTGTGAATAGAAATCTATGAAGTTCATCCAATTGATTGGCTTTCCAGACCCGATATTATCGAGCAGAATTTGTCTAATCAAATTCTGGGCTCTGTGATGGAAAGGTTTGATGAAATTAAGAGAATGAAAATAACAAATCAAAAGTAGGTTCCTGGAAAAAACTTAACTATTTAAATTTTTACCAGGTAAGCCCCACTGAGCTGTATAGGTATTATTTTTTAAAAGCGACCTGGCCACAAATGATAGTCCAATGAAGCGGCTTTTCACGTGCAAATTTACAGCAGCCAAATACTCTAAACGCATGTTGATTCTAAATGTGGAGGGAAAACCCGGAGGACCCAGACAAAAATCCACACAACTACGGGGAGATAGACACGCAAACTCCAAATATACAGCAGGCATCGTCAGGGTCAGGATCGAACCCACGACCTCCTCCATGCCAGGCAAGAGAGATAACACCTCGCCACCGCGACGCCCCTCCATTGTTGCCGGCCACCATTCATCCTGGTTGCATGTCTGAATTATTTCAATTTCCTGAATTAGAAGCCTTGCATCGTTTTCTTTCCGGGACTTCCTCATTCCATGTTCTTTGATGATAAATGTTAGGTATTCACTGCAATGCTTTAATTTCGCAGGCATTGCTTCTCCTGCGACATCGTGCTTATGACTTAAGTGACCCTGAATGCACCGGCTAAACGAGGGTCGGGATCGAACCCACGCCCTCCTGTATACCGGGTGAGGTAGTTAACATTTACCAGCCACCGTGATGCATGTAGATTTTGCCAAGCCGCTGATTCGTATGTAATGGGTGGTGGTGGTGGTTGGGACGAGGCGTTTACAGGAGGAAGGATGGCACGTAACCGAGGCAGGCCATGTACTGGCATCCAGAGGTCCGCGATCGATAGAGAGATCTACAAGCCAGACCTTTGATTAGCACAGCTGGCCACGTACGGTGCGAAAGAAGTTAATCATACATAGCGTATGCACATACGTATATCCAGACGGTGTGGTTACTGCAAGGGGAGAGCACTCAACGACTCGGTGATTTGGTGGAAGGAATGGAGAGATGGGAAGCCGTGACGGTGGCAGTGGCGTTGCCCGTGATGACTTCGTGAACGTCTTACCGTGGCGTGCGACATGTCAGAGGTGTCACTTTCCCGTTGACCTTCAACTCCCCTGTTTGATAAAGTCAAGCAACAGCATCATCATTTGTAATTTTACACGTACAGGTTTTTTTAATTAATTTCGCGATTAAAACTTACTAAAAATGTTTTAGTCCTACGGCAATCAACTGATGGATGAGGGTTTTTCCATGCCACTTTGGCCATGGGGGGTTGTTTGACCATACTTCACCGTGCTGATAATTGCGGTTTGGTGAGTAGAGGACTCAGTTATCACTCGCCACTGATGTTAACCATGGCTGGGAATTGAACTGAGGCGCCTGATTTGAAAACGGAGCGTGAGAACCGCTACACCACCCTTCCAAGCCTTTATTTTAAAATTATAATAACCTGCAAATACTATTTGTAAAAGCCTGGGATTTTTGTTCCGAAGCGACAACAGTTGTGACTGTGTTTCCCCGATCTCAGCCTCCTATCAGATGCCTCGTAAGGGGTTTCTTCCTCTGCTGTGCAGCTCCCAAAGCCTGGGAAGCCCCCACCCGCACGACCCCCCCCCCCCCCTCTCCTTGCTATCTGTGCATCAACGGACTAAAACCAGATATCTCCTCTTTAAATATTTATTTCAATCGATCTTTGTTTTGGCCCAACTTCCCACTTACGTGTAACGTGTACATTATAATTCACAACGACTCTTGCCAGCGTGCGTCACAGTAGCTGCATAAAACAATGTGCGTATGTGCGTTGAGCTTTTTTTTTCCGTCGTGCTAGCCAACCGTGCTCATCAGATGTGCTGGGGAGAAGCACAACAAGTGCAATAATATAAAGCGTCATGACGCACTATCGACTCGTAATTTGCACGTTATATTAATTCGCTCACTCTCGATGGGAGACGACTACTTAGACAGACGCGAGGAGGAACCACAGGCGAGCGGGAAGGCTGCAGCCAGGCGTTGAGATGACACCAAATCCCATCCCCTCCAAGATCTGCAGTCCTCTATATATTAAGGTGTTAGCGGCCAATTAATGCGTGTCTGGGCGAGGGGGCAACACTCGATCCTGTACAAATAAACAGGTGGAGTCCACATCTGTCGTACAGCCTTCTCCTGGCGAGCCCGGGTACGGGCTCCTCCTCGATGCCCATGGGAGGTTTCGCAACAGCTGCGCAAACCACCAACCCTCGCCTCCACAGTGCCGGAGGCATAGTCACTACCGTCCGGCCTAATTAAGCGTGCGTTCACTGCAAAGACAACGCGCTCTGCACGCGTGCCATTCAGATGAGGTAATTCTAAGAGGCGGTCGCGGCGTTGATTCGGCCCCTCAATTGGCATTTCTAAGGGTTATGATAAAGTAGGTACCACTCTGTTCGGAATCACCTATGGCCAAACCGGTCCCGTCATAGGAATGTGGAATTCACACCACTGGCTCCGCACCGCCGACTGAGGTGAGTGCCGCCCGAACGCTCGCTGGGAGCGTGGGGGGACGCTGGTGATGGCCTTCGCGATTAACCTCCGCCCGCTCTGCATTGGCTTTGGTGTCACACTCCTCGAAAATACATTGGGAGATTCAATTTGACAAAATACGACGTCGCTTTTGGGATTCATCACCCGACAAAACATCCAGGCGCAGGCGTTTGTAAACCTGTGCTTACAGACAAGGTACTAAAAGAAAAGTAGCCTCAACATTTTTGGATATATAAAATCTAACATTTCATTTTCCCAATGTTTATGGTTTCAAGTGTAGCCTTGACTCCATCTGTATGGATTATAAACTAAAACTAAACATTTTTATTTTATTTTGCCCGGTAAGGCCCACTGAGCTGTATAGCTCTTTTTTAGAAGCGACCAGGCCCCAAATGATAACCCAACGAAGTGGCTTATCGCGTGGAAATGTACAGCAGCCATATACTCTAAACGCGTGACGTCGATTCTAAAAGTAGAGGGGAAAACTGGAGGACCCGGAGACAAATCCACGCGAACACAGGGAGAGAAACACGCAAACTCCAAATATACAGCAGGCGTCAGGTACGGGATTGAACCCATGTATTCCTGTAAACTAGGTGAGGAAGTTAACATTTCGCCACCGCGAAATTTTCCAAGCCCTACCAGAATTTGTATTAGTCCACATGTTCTTTGCTACACCAGTGAGTTGATGGACTCAGCCTTGGATAGCCAATGACTGCAACAAACACTATAAGTCAGAAAAGAAAGGCGTCCACATACTTTGGCTAAATTCCAGCTCCGCCAATTAAAAGAATAAAAAACGTTTGACATGCGATGAACAATCTTTGCAGAACACTATAAGGTGTACCATCTGGTGTGGCTACGAATATACCGTATGTGCGTCGAGTAACGTCGGAAGCGTTTCTCTTCAGCGATCGTCTGAGATGCATCACCCTGCAGTCGCAGAGTAATGCAGTCGCCCGTAGTGCTTCGGCGCAGACGTAAAATTCCCAGCTCCTTGCAAATTGACGAAATGGAGGAGCTCACTGATCCAAAGCTTGGCCACGCAACCATCGAATTACATTTAAAAAATAAAGTCGCAGCCCCGCAATTGCGTGCTTTACAGCACTATTGGCGGAAGGCCCTCGACTTAAATTACCTCTAAAGAGCGCCATCCAGAGGGTATTTGGCCTACTCTTCCATGGTGGCTATACATCTTGAAGGAGGTGGGCTGGGGGGTACCCACAGTTTACCCCACCACACCCGACTTGGCAATCAATTGTGGTGAACCCATTATATTTGCGTGCCGCGGTGGCGAGATGTTGACTGCTTCGCCTGGCATACAGAAGGTCGTTGGTTCGATCCCAACCCTGACGGCTGATGCATATTTGGAGTTTGCGTATCTCACTCCCCGTGGTCGGGTGGATTTTCTCCAAGTCTTTTGGGGTTTTCCCCCTACATTTTTAATTAATGTGCGTTTAGAGTATTGGGCTGCTATACATTTTCACGTGATAATCCACTTCGTTGGGCTATCATTTGTGGCCACTTGGCTTCTGAAATAAGAGCTGTATTGTTCAGTGGGCCTTATTTGGTAAATAAAAAAAATAATTTAGTAAAAAAATAGGTTTTACCCTTTCTGGCAATAAAATACGGGTTAAGATGTTCAAACACCAAATATATACCTTTTGCAAGGAATATTTTTTTAATACTTTGATATTGGCAAAAAGGTCCCAACAGTTGAGTTCGTAGGTTCGCCCGGGAGATCGCAACGGCCACCTCTGCAACCGCAACCCAAGTGCGCGAGGCCGTCGCCAAACCATCGCAGATTCAAGTCCACGGCGCGCCGTTATCGGCTCCGCATCTACTCACCAGGGCACTCCGCTCAACTCCGCCCGTTGCCTTTAACGACGCCGCCGTTGAAGGTCCTGACCGGTGGGAGCCGCAACGCTTGGGCGGCGTGGCGCGGGCGTGTTGGTATATATGTAGGCGGCCTTCGCGTTTTTGTTGACACTCGCACGGCTCTGGGCACACACTCTAACACCCGGGCGACTGCCCATTCATCATCATCGTCGTCATCATACAAGTGCGCGTTAATTAATGAGGACGCGTTTGAGAAATGTTGTGTGTGTGCTTTCTCTCTCTCGCTGCCCGAGTGTCAGGTTCACGGCGCTGTTGGCAAAGAGCCCGGCGGCTTTTGTTTACTCCGCGGGACGAGCGGAACCAACGAGTCCCAGCGGCGTCAGTGGCCGCGTTCCACATCGCGCCCCCCGCCGCCGTCATCGCTGTTCACGGACAAAGGGGGGCAGGTGCGGAGGATTCAGTTCACGGTCATCGCCTTTTGGGCCAGATTTATGTACTTCAAATATTGCTTCGAAAGGGACCCACTAAGTCCCGGTTATATTGAGGCAGCTGGTTAAACAGCCCGCGAGCGATCGGATGCCAGACCGCCCTGCCCTGCAGCGTGAAAGGGGCTAATAGCAGTTGTGCGGTCGCCGCTCATGAATTTCTTGAGTTGCTGAATCGCGCAAAGCGATGCCACCCCGTCGCATTACCTGCCTCTTCGTGTCCCTTGGCCCTTTGCGGACACCCTTGGAACCTGACAGTTTCCTTCACCGGCAGCTCACCGCGGTGTTTTCTCCGCTTCTGTGTCCGACGCTGTGGCGTCTGACGTCCACTCAGATCGATTTATTCCCCCTGCACCTTCGTAAAAAAAACTGAACCTTAAGACTATATATACTGTATATTTTTCATCAGGTAAAGCCCACTGAGCTATATATAGCTCTTTTCAGAAGGGACCTGGCCACAAATGATAATTAAACAAAGTATGCATGTATGTATATTACACTTATTTTGCACCGTCCGTAGCCAACCGTGCTAATCAGAGGTACGGGGGAAGGACAACAAACTAAACACAAAAATCAGTTCTTAAAGAAGTTAGTTTTCAATCTATAGCAGCCAACTACTGTGAAATGCAGTTCGATTCTAAATGTGACGGGAGAAACCGGAGGACCGAGAGAAAAATCCACGTGACCACGGGAAGAGAGACACGCAGACTCCAAATTTACAGGTGACGGAGTGGGGATTGAACCCACATATCACCACCGCGGCGTCCCTCCATTCATCCTGCTTGCATGCCTGAATTATTTCAGTTTTCCTGAATTCGAAGCCTTGAGTCGACTGTGTACGTCGCTTCTATCCAGGACTTCTTCATTGCCTGTTCCTTAATAATAAAATTCAAGGTACTCATTGCAATGTTTTCATTTCGAAGGCAGTGATTCTCCCGTAACATCGTACATATGACTAGATGACATTGAATGCACAAAGCTAACAAGGGTTTAGCATTGGTTACGTATGTACATATGTTAAACTTCTTTCACACCTTTACATAGCCAACCGTGCTGTTGGAGGTGCGGGGGTGGGGGTGACAACAAACTAAACACAATATGAAAAATACAAATAGTTTTTACCTTTTCTGGAAATAAAACAGGAGGTATTAAGATGTTCAAAAACCAAATAGAAACCTTTTGCAAGGAATCAAGTCTGTATTTGCCTCACGTACTTGTGGTACACCGCAGTTAATTGGGAGTGCCACGGTGGCGAGATGTTAACTACCTCGCCTGGTATACAGGAGGACGTGGGATCGAGCCGAAGTCTGACGCTCGCAGTATATTTGGAGTTTGCACGTTCTTCTCGGATTCTCCGGGTTTTCCCTCCACATTTAGAGACATGCATTTAGAGTATTTGGCGGCTATACATTCCCGCATGATAAGCCACTTTGTTGAGTTATTATTTGCGAAAGAGAGGTTGCTTCTGAAAAGAGCTCTATAGCTCAGTGTGTCTGAACTGGGGAAAAAAATATGTTACGTTTTTAATTGAATTGATAGCGCTAAGGTCGTGTTTGATGAGGTAAAGTGTGGGTACTATCACCTCTTCCAATACTTGTGGCCAATGTAGAACTGTAGGCAAAATACCCTCTCTAGCGCTGCCAACAGTGGAGGCCCTTCTGCCAGCAAGTGGCGTGAGCAAGGAATTGCAGGGCTGCGCCTTTACCTCGCGTGCACGTTCCTAGTCGTGGCTTCACTGAGCCCTGTCAATCAGCCACTCATAAGATAACCTGCAACCCTATGAAGGCAACATTTGTATTTTTACCTTTCTGAAGTGGCGTTTGTGTTTACCTTAAGACCGTGCGTGTTCAGTAACAGCTTTGTGTGCCTGCGACACTTGGACATTGAACAAGACTGACAGGAGTAAGATGTTGGCACTCGAAATGTATCGCCAAAAAAGAATGCCGCATCTAATCTGGACCCAAAGAGTGACCAACGGAGAAGTGAGAAAAAGGTTGCACGTTGAAGAAGACAGCCTGATGATGATGCAGGCAGTGATGAGAAGGAAACTGGCACTATTTGGACTCTCATGTCGGATGGACAACAGGAAAATTAAAAGTTTGTTGTTGATCGGAAAAAATGAAAGGAACTGGAAAGAGAGGAAGACCTCAACAGAGAATGACTTGACGACATCAAATAGATTGGTGACAACAAGATGTGGTCACTACTTGAGCCATATTGGCACAGGACAGATGACATTCGAAACAAATGTCGAAATGTGCAGTGGATACGTGCTATCTGCCCATGGATCGTGATGATGACGATGAATTGCACTATACACTACGCTATACACTACAGTATTATACACTACTATACACTACACTACTATACACAACATTATACACATCACTACTATACACTATACAATACAATACACTACTTTGCTGTGCACTGCTTGAGCCATATTGGCACTACAAGACAGAGAAGAAAGTGTAAACAACAAATGACGAAATGTGCAGTGGACGACTATGGGGTATCTACCCATGGATCGTGATGATGATGATGATGCAGTGGTGTATGCCTTTTAAGCCTTCGCGAAGTGTCCATTAAGGGTGAAGAGAAAATAAAAAAATAACATTTTAAAAGCTCCAGAAGGTTTTTAAACCACGCTTTTATGGAAGTTGAAAGACAGTTCAGGGTTACATTTTGGAACGCAGATTGATTGCGTGGCTGCATTTCGAAATCAACGAAGATTCACTCACCTCGTGCGTCCACGAGACAACCTCCACATCGTGCACGATTGACGGCAATACACAAAACAGATGAGAAACAGTTTTCGGCTAAATAAAATGTCGCGCTGAACGGATGAGTCCATACGAACGTCTGCCACATTATACAAAGTGCTCTCGCATTTTCCACATTCGCGACTCAAATGCATTCCGAGCGAGAACAAAAAAAATATTTTTTTTGCGGTGAATCAAACAAAGTGAATAGACGTGGGCCTTCGTGATGCGTGCTTCGCGCATTTCTATACTTTGTGAGTGCAGTTTTATGTTTATACGTACAGGGTGGCCCAGATGTATTGTGACCCCGCCAACTAATTGACACCTAATAATATTTGTGCGTTCGCTCGTTTCTCAATCCGCATGTCCTGGTGAAGGTCGCAGCGGTCCAGACCTCCCTTTCCCTGGGGACGGACTCTATTTCTACATTACTATACCCTACTATACACTACTACACTATACACTACACTACTATACACTACATTACTATACACTACTACACTATACACTACACTACTATACACTACACTACTATACACTATACACTACTATACACTACACTACTATACACTACACTACTATACACTACACTACTATACACTACACTATACACTACACTACTATACACTATACACTACTATACACTACACTATACACTACACTACTATACACTATACACACACTACTATACACTACACTATACACTACACTATGCACTACACTACTATACACTACACTATACACTACACTACTATACACTACACTACTATACACTACATTACTATACACTACACTACTATAAACTACTACACTACTATACACTACACGGCTATAAACTACTACACACTATACACTACTATACACAGCTTGTCCTGGGCCGGCCCCGGGGTCTTCGCCTTTTGCATATTCATTTCTGTTTTAAATAACTCTTACTTAATAACCCTTACTTAAAAATATATACATTAAGTTTTAGATTATTAAATGGGGGTCACAAGACATCTGGACCAACCTGTAAAGCGTTTTGAGACACTTCAACGTGAAATGCGCTTTGTAAAATCGAGGTTGTTATTTTTGTTGTTGTTATTTGTGCAGAATGAAGTTCGACGTTTCCAATGGACGTACCTAGGTGGCAGCTTCCAATCAAATGAAGCTGAGCAGAAACTCCCGCAATGTAGGGTAAGGTGATGGTTTTGAATGGCTCCTCAAGAAGATAATTGGATACAATATTATACAATGTAGTATAGATGGAAGGTATAATATTGTAATGTATAGTAGTCTAGTTTATAGCATAGTTATAACGCAACACAGGACAGAGCAGAGCATCGTGGCTGTTTCCTCCTCTTCCCCCCCCCCCCCTCCTCCGTACCGAACATAGATGGACTCGTCCGTCTGAACAAAGCTCGTCGCTTTCCGTGGTATTAATCCCTCATAATAACATCATGCTAATCCCCCAGTTACATGCTAATTTATATGTAAACTCCTCTCCCCCCTCCTCCGTTCCGACACCAACATCATGCTAATCCCCCAGTTACATGCTAATTTATATGTAAACTCCTTTGTCAAGGCGCTCTGTTCCTCCCACACAGCTTAAAAGACGCTGCCAAGCTTGGCAGGGTTCACTCAAGCGTTGTCTTCCGGACAGTCCTGTTTCTTCACCTGAGGAAGGCTACTTGTGTTGTGGCCGAAACGTCGTGAGAATTTTATTCTGTTATTATTATTATTATTTTTATCATTTTATCTCCATTATACGTGACTTTACCAAAAGAACCCAGAAGATCTATTTTATTTTGTTATTTTAATTTGTTATCTGTTTTCTGATTGTATCTCGGCATCAAGCCACAAGACGAAGAACCCATTTGGAAACTTTCACCGACCAATGCAATGATTTTATTTGCTCGAGAATGGCTCACAGAGGTAGCTCTGCAGGAGCAGTGGGCTACCTTTTCCCGCACGCTCTGCGGTTGAGAGTAATGTTTGCGGCATGACGGTCAAACCGATGTTTTTAATTCTCAGGAGACCGGTTGCGAGGAATTAATCGGGGAGTCCAGTTCCACCGTCTGGGCCCTGCCTCTGGGACAAGTGCATGGCCTATTGCTTGTATGGTCAATTGGAATATGCATTTAACATACCAAATTTCTACACAGCAAAGACAAAGATCCCCCGTGTAACCTTAACATACTGTTAGGGCAAGTGCTATTTGTGAGCACCTATGAAGGTCGGCACGGCACATGAGGGGGTGGGTGGCCAGCACCACGCCCGGCCGCCTTTGTCTCCCCAGTGGCGATGTTTACACACCGCACCAGGTACTCGATTGAGGCTGAGTCGATCTAGGGTGCCGAGGACCGGT